CACCTCATCTGCATTTTAAACAACAAAAATGTCGCTACAAAAGGTGCCGTTATGAAAGGGTTCATAGTAAAGGTCACATTCAAGGACAAACAATATATTAGTTGTTCTTGTTAATGAACACATTTGCATTTAAATGAGATGTCTCGTAACTGTGACTCATGAAATAGATTTTGCGGAAGAACATAGACCACCTTCACATTTCATTTCTCACATGGGTCATATTAAACACTTGTGAGTGGTGTAATTGTAAAACATGTTAAAGCTGTATTAAATAACTTCTTCCTCTAAGTTTCGACCATTAAGTGAGAGTCAGAATTTTAACAACTTCTCATTAAAACGTTACATGGACTGCTGTGTTATGTCCAACATACTAAAGTGGGCCAAAACGGAGGAAAATGCGTTAAATTACTTATTTTCTAATCCAGGAAAATGTGCTTGTTTCTGTTAATTGGACAACAAAGCACTAAGGTTGCAGTCAGTTGGAATGACTCCAAACTACAACAGAATAATTCAGTACGAGGGCACAATATTGAAAGGTTAACGTTGGCTTGATAATAGTACTTATGCATCTAGCAGGAAGAAAGCCCCATCCACGTCAAACTTTAGTCCTTTGGATGCTTTTAATGCTCTTCATCTCTGACATGCCAAACCGATGTTGACCCTGGTTTTGCCTCATTCCTTGTTGCACTTTTCCTGTGGCCTCTTGGGTCTAACAGGCAGGTCTGCTCCCATCCTGGGTTGTGGCTGTCTGTGAAATGAGCCGTGCTGGTTTGAAAAACACTTCTTATAACTTCGGATCAGTTGGGACGTAGAAAACGTGTGGTGCACATTATACCAACATTGGCCACAGAGGGCAAGAAATAAACACAGGGCCTGAAGATAGCAGAGTGGGGTGGGGTTAGTACAGCAGGGAGAAAACCGTTGACAATTTTTTACTTGATTTATCTGAATTTGTGCAAATTCTTAGTTAATGCAGCTTTAAAATGTTTTCCTGATTATATTCAGTAATCAGCATGCCATTTTTTAAACAGTCTGCTGCTGATCTGTAACCAAACTTCATACTTTACACACTGTACTGTAGAACTGTCTGTCTGCATCAGTGTGTTTTGAATAACAAACATAAATCCAAGTTGTCAGTTGGTCGGCTGCTGTGGATGATCTTTCCCTCAGACGTTGCTTGATTGGCAGTTTTACAATAGATTTGAATTCACCACTTTTTGGAAAACATGAGATAAACCTGCAGTTTGCACTTGCTTGCTTACATGTTATCCAAACTTGACCTGGACCCAAATAAATTTTCTGTACAAACCCGGCCTGAACCCTAAGATACCAACGTTCCTGTCGGGCTCGGTTTGGGTATCCACACTCTGGTGCAAAGAGAAGCTGTCAATATATTCCTCAGCATCCCTTTAGGGGTCTCACAGTGGGTCATCAAGGAGGACTGAACCTGAAGAGGTGGAGGTGATGGCAGATGAGGAGAGGTGACAGGGAGATGAGAAAACAGGGAGAGCGTGGCAGGAGAGGTTGACAGGAAAGGTGATGAGAGGGGTGTGTGAGGCAGAATAGATGTGAGCAGGAAGAGGCTGCCCTGCAATGACGGATGCATTGTGAGTCACATGTAAGTCAGCGCCTTCATTATTCTGGCCTAGTTCACCACGCGACAACCTTCAGATACTTTGTCTGTAGGCAAACTGTGTTTGATGTAAGGTGAAGCCAAATCATAGCCCAAGTTTGCAGTTTCTGCTTCACAGTATATTCTGTGGTTTTAATGCGTCAGGAAAATCATAGCCCAAGTTTGCAGTTTCTGCTTCACAGTATATTCTGTGGTTTTAATGTGTCAGGATTTTTTTTTTTTTTTTGATCGTCTTGTTTTGTGACCATTGTCAGGTGATTGTGTCCACTGACAGAACTGATGAATCTTCACTGACACTGTACCACAAGTGTGAAATTTACTCTGAATGGTGTCACATCATTATATACAAAGTACAGACATGTGCCTGCAGCCAACGACGATGTGCACAGTAACTCACACAGACACTATTCAACTGTGACAGCTAAAGTACCACTATACATCAGTATAGTTCAGCACATCCCCACCAACCTTTGTTCAACAGCTTTTCATGAACCCTGTTATAATTTTTATAGACATATTGTTATTCACAGTCTTCCTTGTGACACAGCTGTGTTTATTAGGGCTAGTTAGCTAGTTTGTAGTTTTACTGCTGGCTTAAAACACTACCATTTTTACCCTAGGTTCTCTTTGAAGGACAGACAACCCATACTGCCATCTTTGTGCAACCCCCAGACAGGTCTGCAGACATTTTTTCCTTAATTCTTTTTGAACACAAAACAGCTGCTTCAGACGCCATTCTGTGTTTACATTCTTGTCCCCAGTCTCAGACCTGTTGGTCTCTGTTTTTAATTTTATGTATTTAATTTTATTAGGCCATTGAGTGGTAAGTTAGAAACCATTGCTTCAAAGTGCATAGCCTACTGTACTGCATATAGCATTGTGGAACAAACATGGCTTTAAATCTGTGATGTATGAGGCAGACTGCCATATCAGCCAGGGTTTTCTAACCAGCAGCAGTTGCTCAGCTCTCTTGTGTACATGTATACAAGATTGCAGAAGATATAAAGCAGAGGTAAAATGATTGGCAGAGTGCTTAAAAGCATGAAGTGCCTTTTCAGAGAGACAACCAATGCCAGCCCCTTGAATCATAACATTCAAAAGAGAAAAAGAGAGTGACTCATAATGATCCTCTTAATGTTTGTATGCCAAAACACAGTAGTGCCAAAAAAAAAAAGGGACGGAGCAAAAGAGGAAGGATCTCCATAACGGCAGCATGTCTACGTCATTGACAGAATGGTGACCACGGGGATGAAGGAGCGAGGAGGGTGGGTAATATTACCCACATGTCCCCGCTGTTTGTGGCCTTGCCCCCTGTAATGCTGCTAGGCAGTGATGTCGCTCAGACACACACAAGGAGTGTGTAAAGAACTACGCACACACACCCCCACTGCTGCTAGTGGTGGCTAATTAATACATTCATGCATTGCATAGGTATTTATTCATACACAGACACATTCATATCTGGCCAGTAATTCATACCACACTGTCAAAACAATGACCGCCAACAAGCGCCTTTCACATGCACCAGGTAACCTAAACTCTTAACACTGCTCCAGTTAGTTTTTCTTCTTCTGCATCTTTGACTGCACCGCCGTCCCCTTTACTGTGAACAGTAACCTTTTGCTAACATTTAGTTTCAGTTCAGCATGTACAGAAAGACGGACGTCGTTCTATAAACAATGTTCATCAGAAGACGTGAAATAGAAGCCCAAGTACCGAGCTTCGATTTTTAGTAATCACGGAGCTCCAGATGAACTGACTAGACTGTGATGGTCAATGGTCAAAGTCTTTGTGACCTTACATTTGTCCCATTCTCATGAATGTGATGTTTCAGGAACACCTTGAGAGTATTTACTTTTGGCACAAATGTCCATGTGGGTTCAAGGATAATGTGACAAAGTTCTCCATAAGTCCTCTGTACTCCACTGTAAAAATAATCTCTACAAGAAGATGGCATGTTTCTCTCTGGATAAGTCCAGACAGCCACGCTTGTAAGCTGCAGCTTGTCTGGCAGGTGGAGGCAGTAACACTGGTTCCTTTAAGTCCATAACTCTGAGGGACTGTTGGAACTGTAATCTTACAAATGCACTTTCAGACAGTATGAGGAAATCCATTGCTTGTATTTGATTAGCAAGTAAAACACACTTTTGGCAGTTTATTAGGTACATGAAGATGAAGTCGGTTTAATCCAGCAGTCCCACAGTAAATCCGACTGCAGTACATCAAGGTGCTAATGCTCCGTTTACCTGAGAGGTGTTGATTCAGCTGTATGTTAGTTTGGTGCTGCTGTTGAACTGTACTGCTTTACACAGAGAGCTGCGTCTGTTATTTTGTCCACTCCATGTATATCAGTGTAGTTCTGCTAAATAACAGAAAAGCCTTCTCTGTGTAATGCAGTACAGTTTAACAGCAGCACAAACTGCAGCCTCCAAAATGAATAAACAAAACATTATTACCTCCACGACGGAGGGTTTATTGCTGTGCTTTTGGATTAGACTGACTTATTTTAGATTTGTGTACTTAATAAATTGCCATCTGAGTGTGCTCCTTACTCTTAAAACAGTACAGCACAGTCTGCACACAAGCTTCATCACTGACTGTCAGGCTGGGATTGGAAATCTACTGTAGATGTCGCTCTGTGTTGAATCTTTCTTGATCTTGTAGTTTTGTTGTAACTTATTAATTTGGGGGTGCTATTGGACAGTGAATTTAAATTTGATAAACAAGTTAACTCAGTTGTCAAATCTAGTTTCTTTCACCTCAGAAAAAGTAATTCATGCATTAGTTTCATCGCAGCTCGATTACTCTAATTCCTCCTTATTGTCATGTTTGCAGCTTGTTCAAAACGCTGCCACAAGGCTCCTTACAGGAACACGTAAATACGACCATCTCCCACATAATTGAATCTTTTCGCTGGTTTCCAGTTTAATTCAGAATTGATTTTAAGCTTTTGTTACTTGTTCATAAGGCACTAAACAGGTTAGCTCTATTGTACCACTTCCTGTAGAGCTCTTAGGTCCTCAGGCCAGAAGCTTCTGGTCATTTCGAGGTCTAGACTTGAACTTGGAGGAGATTGTGCCTTTGCTGTAATGGGTCCCAAGCTGCGGAACAGCAGCACCAACTTGGAAATAACTGTGGAAAATTTGAAGTGATCTAAAAACCTACCTGGTTGAGTTACTTGATTTTTCTCCTGTTTGTATTTGTCATTATTTATTGATTGATGTACGGCACTTTGGTCAACCCCTGTTGTTTTAAATGTGCCTAGAAATAAATTTGATTTGACTTGACTATTACCCACATACAGGCTCCTACAGTGTCATGTACTGTATTTTAACCATGAGCTCCTTTCATATCTTGATGACTGCAGGTCACAGCGGTTGGTGAAGGAGATATGGAAAAGAAGAAGAGAGTATGCAGGAGAGAGGAAGAAGAACAAAGCCACAGAAGGAAGAGAGAGAAGAGGAAATTATTCTGAGGGATGATGACGACGATAAAGCCGAAGCATGGAGTGATGAAGAGGCAGATGAAGACACCTCATGGTATGACCAGTCACATCAGGACTCAAGGACGTCTTGTGTTTGAACCTCAATTTGACTGCATAAGATCAAATATTTGCCTATTATATAGAGCACAGGCCCACAGAGAGCACAGTGTTTTGGAATCGGAGGACTGAAGAGAGCACACACACACACACACACACACAGTTCTTGTTTCAGCTGCTACTACCTGCAGGGAGGGGAGCCCTGATATGTAGTAGATGTATCTCTTCCTCTCTGTCCTCACCTCTCCTTCATCTCTCTCTGTTGAAGTACACCCCCCAGACTTGTAGTATTTCTCTCACTTTGCTTTCAACTAACCTGCTCATCACTAGCCAGGGATGACCCTAATTTTGAAATGTCTCGTAAATAAATCAACAGGCTGCCCCACAGCTATGTCGACATACTGAAAATACTGCAGCTATCACATCTATACACTGCACCTCCTGAGAGCTTTCATGCACGTGCTTTTTGTAGGGATATGACATGTTTTGAAGCGACGGCCGTGTTTTAAAAGCAGCAACACTGGCCTCGTCTTCTTTTCTTTCTACTATAAAGACTCTGCCCTTGCACCATCAAACCAGGACACCCAAAGTCTTCTAAGTTTAGGAATACATTTTGTGTGATCACTGAAAACCAACGAATTAAAGCACATCAGAAGATTTGACCTTTGACAGGGGACTGACTTTCATAAAGTAGAGGACAGAGAGAAAGATGTGCCGTAACACTTGACCCCACCTCCACATATTGACGTCTCGTGGGCTGCTTTACAGTCAACTATGACCAATCCAAGCTCCATAATAAACATTAAATGTAGTGAGCACAGCCACCTACATGTCCTGTTGCTAGATGAAGGTAAATCACTGAGTCACAGCTGAAATCGCTCATCACAGAGAATTTTTTTCACTAATGCATGATAAAAAGAACAGAACATCTTTTAACTTGACCCAGAGCAGTCTAGACAGCACTCAGCGTTTTTGTTTCATCGTAAAATGAGCCAGAGTCAAGCACAGTTTGTCACAGGTGTGTAACAGCTTAACTTTCATGTCTTCCTTTAGTCTGAATCTGTAACTGATCTTTAAAGTTGTATTGGATAAAGCTCTGACACATGAAATTGGAATTGCTTCTTCTTTTGCAGCATCCCAGCTGATCAGCGCAGGCCTGGCGTGTTACGATCTCAGAATCCCCTGTCTGGGCTACAACGCACTCAGTGACGTCAGAGCCTCTTTGTATGTGTGTGCAGGCCTCGCTGTCAGCCCCTGCATGGCTCCGGAGGAGGTAGTGATATGGAGGGAGAGCGCGAGAGAGGCGGAGGTGGGAGGTAGGCTTTATGCTGTGATATCATTTCATGGAAATTGTTATTTGTGGAGGTGGAGATGCAGCACCCTACGTGAGCTTTGAACAGCACAGCCTCCTAGAGGCCGAGCAGCCAAATTCAAGTTTGTGTCTAGAAAAAAGATTTAGACATTTAGCAGTTTGTCCTCCTCTTAAGCCTCAATATAATTTGATTGATATATCGAGTTGAATAACAGTCTTTCATTATAGAAAGCAGAGTTTACATGAGCTGTAGGACGGATGATGGGAGAAACTGTATTATATTAACTGAAAGGCAGCATGCGTTTGGCATGGCCTGCAACAAAGTCTTTGAGATGTAGTACAGTAATTTTCATATTATGCAAAAGGATTTGTGTCTTTTGAAACCACAGTTAGAAGTCATATGACTACTGTGGAAAATAAACACACAGCACCATCTGGTGGTGACAAGCTTTTGGTGTGTATCAACTTCTTAATCCATGAGTACATGCCAACACTGTACTGTAGGATTATGGTTTTTGTCATTTAAAGGCATTAAACAGCTTTTTAAATCTCATCACAACCAGATAAGCAACAAACAAAGTTCAAACTCAGAATTCTGAATGTTTTTAAAATTCAGCTTTAAAGTCAATTCTGAGAAAAATTGAGTTTAAAGTCAGAATTCAGTGGCGTTAACCCTCTTCTGAACAACCCAGTGAGAAGAGCACAAAAAAGAAGCAAAGCACAAAAATCTCAAATAACCAAAACTGTTCTAACTTTGGCAAAGTTCTAAATTAACATCAAAGCTCATAGTAAGAAGCTGATTGAGAAAATAAGGGCCTTTGCCACAAAGTAGGTCAAACTTACACAGATGAGTTTAATAACAATAAGACACATGACAACTGCAAGTGTTCCTTGAAACTGATTTTAATGGTGTTAAAAATAAGGCTATGATTCTGTTTTAGCAAACATGGACCAGGAGGAACCACTGTTGGGGCATTGAGAGAAGCCCAGTACAGCAGGTGAATGTGACCAGTCTTCGTGTAACTGCAGATGGACACGCAGTGAGTGCACATACACCACACATTTGCAAAACTCAAACACGCACTGACAAATGTTTCTTCCATTCAAATTCCTACTTAAACACACAGACATCCACCCCACCCAAAACGGTGGCAGTAAACAGGTTTAGCTGATAAAATAGCAGTGTTCTCTTAAAAAAAAACATGCATAGATTAGTACATGAATGTGTTGTTTGAAACCCACCAAGTTACTCTCTGCACATTTTGATCTTATGCTTTGTCAAAAAATTTACAACATGGTTACATTATGTTTGTATTTAACCATTTAACCATTACTAGCAATCCTGTAAACTCGTTGGACTGTTAAGTATAATAGACTATTGCAAACTAATGTAGAAAGTTACATTCTGAACCAGGATAGGCTCTGTAATATAGGAAATAAATACTGAAATGGCAAAAACACAATATTTAGTTACTATTTTGGAAAGGACTGATGACCACTCTTGGCCTAACCTTTCAGATATAAAAACACCTGCTTAGTATTAGTTGTCCTGTAATTGTGTCACAGTCATCATCCAAATACTTGTTACTTAATAAAAGTGTCCCACAGAAGAATACAAAATACGCACAATGCCCAAAGCAACAAAATATGACAATAATTGCCTTCCAGACTTCCAAAGCATTTGAAACAAAGGAATGATAAATGAATCAGGAGAGACTCTGTAGCGCTGCATGCATATTCATTAGAAGGTGCCACACAAAAATGTTGTCAGATTCCCTTATTCAAGCTTATTTCCCAATAAGATGAGGCCCTAAAAATGTGCATGTACTGTATGTCGTTCAAATTATTGGACTCCCAAAACTTCTGAAGTTAGAAAAATTGAAAACAAAAAGAAAAACACGGTGCTTCTTTTGTCCTTTGGTTACCGGGGCGACGCCTCGCTGCAAATGTTTGCACATTTTGTTCCTTTCACACAGTTGGGTAGTGTACATTACCACAGGTGTTCTTCCAAACCTCAAGCAGCTAAAATCTAATATTTTTAAGGGTTTAGCTTTAAAAGGGCCAAGCAGACACACACACACAATCGGACGAGGATACAGGATTTTCCCCATGTAGGCTAATGCTGACCTACAGTACAATAAGCTGGGCCTTCTGTTCACAGGAAGCCTCAAAGTACCCAAACTGCATTGACATTATTCATATCACAAAATCTAATCCTGTGCCAAACAGGGCTTTGTGTCATTCAATACAACCTCTAAAATAATGTTTTAACGTGGAGCCTTTGCAACAGTTCTGTGTAGGGCCTGTACGTGCAAACTGCTTCTCTAATAATCAGACATTATTCAGCCTCAGAAAATACATTCAAACTGAGCTTTTTGAAATTTCTAATACATTTTGACACTCACCCCTAATCTTAAACACAATTTAAAAAAAAAATTAACAATAAATTCTCAACACAGAAAGAACGTCAATGAATATACACACTCGATGCTCAAATGTGATTTACAGATGTAAAAGTCTTACATGTATAATAGAAAATATACTTCAAATCAAAACTTGTTCTCGTTTTAGTGACTGCAAAAATCCTTCGTGTTTCACCCTTTTCTCTTTCCAAACCAGGTTTAACATTTGGGAGGCAGACGGCATCTGTACGTCACCTTATCAAAGTTTGCCCACACCCCTAGATAACTTGGCCATCTTCCTGTGTGCACCTGCTTTTCCAACATGCAACCCGGCACTGGAGAAACACGTGAGCACTGGATGTATCCTTTAAGTTAATATAAACTTCACTGTACCTACACCACCAGTCAAAAGCTAAGACACACTTTCCTATTCAGCTCAATGGGAAAGTGTGTCTAAACCTTTGATTGGTAGCGTCTTTAAAATTCATAAAGAATAAACTGTACAAAATGAATTTAAAAACAATTTTCTTTTTCTTTTCTTTTTTTTTTTTTAGAAAACAAGTCATCTCCTCGGGCATTAAGAACAATCGGGAATATCAAATAAAAAACTTAGAGGAGGAGGGCATGCGGGAGTCGGAGGGTGACGCTGGCGCTAACACAGCAGTCTGTGATTTTATTCAATCATGAGAAGTTGTGACCTGCCAAACGATGAGATGGTTCCGCTCAGCCTTGGTGGGTGCAGACTGCTGGCTGGCCGTCAGCTCCGATAAACCGTCCAACACGCCGCCTTCGTCACCTGAGGAGGAAGGCGATGATTCAAGCAAACAACATTCTAAGTGAGTCACAGTGGAGACATCAGGTGTTTTTGCACCGGTGTAATCAGTTTTAATAGTCAAACTACAAAATAATGGGGATGTCCCAATCCAGTCATTTTGGCCCCGATGCCAATTCTGATCTGATACTTAACACCTACAGTAAATGTTCATTAACATACCTGACATGTTGAAACTGAAATTAAACTAGCAAAGTATTTTTTCAGGAGCTTCTTGATCCAAATGCATGAGCCAAAATATTAAGTTTATTAGCTTAAATTACTGATATGAATAAAAGAATAACTGGGAGCTGAACAACACATACTCAGAACTACAGATATGTGAACACCCAGTTTGTCCAAGCAGTCCAGTTTATATACCCAGTTTGTCCAAGCAGTCCAGTTTAATAACGCTACATTAAAAAAGGCATTGGTTGTCATAGCACCACTGGACAAGAGCATAAAACTAACTGTGTGTACACTGAAAGTACAGCATGTACAGCCTGTGCACGTCTTCTGTGCACATTGTGGAACCCTAACCCGTGTCTGTACTGGGCATGTTGTTCACTCGTGCATTAAGCACTTGGTGTACAAAGACGCACAGAGGAGCCTACAGAAACACTTTGGAAGAGGGAAAACTACGTCCAGATCTCTGACAAATAGTGCACAGTGAGGTGATTACTAGCTACACATACATGTACAGTGTATCCAGCCCCACAGCAAATACAAGCTACACACACTGTGTGCTCAGTAGTAGCTCACAGACATTCTTCTGTTTCTGTTACCTGTTGCACCTTTTTATATTTGGAGAAGTACAAATATTACACTTAATTTTTAGTAGGAAGTTTGCAGGCTGTGTAGACAGCTGGATTGATTAATATAGCAGCTTATCGGTTGCTTGACATGCGCGTCTCAAAAACAGGCCGATACCAATCCTGTAAAATATCCCCAGATCAGCACAGATGCTTAGTATCGAACTGGGACATCGCTACAAAATGGCATTTGACTACATCACTTTCTCTACTGATTCAATTGCAACGTTTCTATTTGCATGATGTTAAGAAACATGGTTTACCCACCCATTCTGAAGTCAATGTAGCCTTCACCTCCACTCATGACTAGGTATGTTCTGGGCTCAGAGGTCGCAGTGTCCGAGGATTCAGATGCGGGGTCATCGGAGCCTGAGTCAGCACTGCCTGGAGGTGGCATCACCTGACCTGTGTCAAAATAAAGAAATCAAATGACTATGACTGAAAAACACTTTTAGTTCAGTGAGAAACAGGAAAAAAAAGCTTTCTGATGTGCACTTCAGACTTGAACAATGACCTGATTGTCTAAGCTTTATTATTATTATAATCACTGACATAAAAAATACAGGCCACAGTAAAGATGCACAAATGTTGGGCTGCAACTAAAAACTGTTTATCAGTTATTTTCCTAACTAATCATTTAATATGATAAATGGTGGTGACGCCTGTTTGTATATATCTTATGTAAAATAATGTCAAGTTCCAACAAACATGTAAGTAATTTATCCCACTTAACACACTTCCTCCCACAGTTTGTGACCTACACTTGTTGCTTACCTGGCACAGTGACAAAGAACTTGACCGCATCTCGATGTCCGTGGAAACACAGCTGGGCGTGGGCCATGGAGCAGTATGGCACGAAGCTGTCTGGCATGGCACCGTCTAAACCGTCATCACTGTAGACCCGTATGGCACTGCCGGGCCGATTTGGCACCGCTCCCATTGTCTTATTGGCTGCAAAACAAGAAAGAAAGAAAGAAATTCATAAGAACTGTTGTGAAAATATGCATACTACTGTATACTGATTTTATGAATGTCTTTTATTTGTTCATTTGCAGTGGTGTCCTGAAGCAGTGAAGGCAGAGACTTTGGCACAAGCAGCCATCAGTGAAGAGGACTGTGCAAAAGACAAAGTGAGGTGAGATGTTCCTCAGTGAGGAACACGAACACACGCACACAGTCACAACAGTGTGAAACTGAGTCCCGATCCAGAAAACTAGACAAAGCAGGGTTATGAGCAGAACTGGCCTGCACACACAGTCTCTGACAGACAGTAGTGCTCCCTGAGGTTCAGTCTGAGAGGAGGCTGTTCTCAACAGGGCTGTCACTTTTTATTCAAATTTCGAACATTCGTTTGAATACAACAATTCAAACTCTAATGACCTGTTGGAATCCAGCAATGTATACTATGTCAATAAACACAACAGGCCATGTGATGTAACTTGCCTTGTGGTCCAGCAAAGGACATTCTGAAAATGCACCATCAGCTTGTCCTGTTCACCCCTCAGTAAAGTAAGAAAGATTATGTTTGCAAGGACAAAATGCAGGATAGTAGCAAGCAAAGTTGTGCTGATCAGACAATAATGACACCGGAGCAGTGTCAAGGTTCAAACATGATTTTTGAAAAAAGTGACAACTCTAGTTCTCATCGATTAACTATGTGAAACCCCCATGAGAAAAGAGACCTCTAAGCTATCACTCGTGGAGTGGAGCCTGTAGGAGAGAAGCTAGAGGTTAAAGAGAAAGAAGACCCAGCCCACCTGAAAGGTCCTCACATATGCACACTCCCTGACAAGAGCAGTTAGAGACAGAGAACAAGAAACACAGAACTGTACAAAAAGGTGATGGAGATGACACCAACTCAGTCACATACTCAAAAAAAGTGTTAAAGGAGAGATTCGTGACTTTTCAAGCCGGTCTTAATACAATATTGACTTACCCATATGCAAATTATATTTGTGCTTTTGTCACATTTCAGAGTTGTCTCATCTGTGCCTTGCACACAGGAGAACATGGCCCGTGTGTGCAATTATCCAGGCCGTTCAGAAAGAAACAAGCAAGGGAGTAAACCGATTTCAACACATTTCCCGAGAGATCCTGAAAGTTGCTGCTAATAGTAGTTGGAATGGACATAAAATACTCCTTTTGCAAAGCTGTGAAAGTGTTACATGTATGTGGAGCCCATTTCCACAGCAGGAGAGGAACTGCAGCGCACGGCTATGTCATCACTGGTCCAGCTAACAGCAGCTGACGAGGGGGTAAGTGCAAATAAATACATAACATGGTATTTATAAATTAACCAACCAATAATGTCCTAAAAAGACCACAGTGATGACAGTCAGCAGTTCATCTACAGTGTAACAGTGACACGAACTCGGCTTTATAGAAACAAATGTTAGTGTATGCCAGTATTTCCCAGGGAATATTATGATAACCAAGAGACATGCAGTTGTGTTTTGTATACTTGGCCATACAGTCAATGCCCAATATTGCTAACATTTTATACTGTGTTTTTAATTTCCTCAGATATAACATGTGAGTAAAAGCCGGTTCCAGTGGCAACTAATAAAACAAACAACTCGGCAAGGAACTTCTTTCCAGGGAACAAAAAGAGTCAAATTAGCCTTAAATGCGCTGAAACTTTGAGAGATACCAACTCAAATTCGCAATTAGCTGGGCTAGCTGATGGTGCATTGAGCGTCATGTTAACGTTGGAGTGCATTTTTGTACAAAACGACAGCTGTGTATTTTGCCCCTCATTGTTTACAATGTAGTCGCATTCTAAGTGGAACCATTCACGGTCAGTGTGGAGAGTAGGAGAGGCTACAGTGACTAAAATCTCTTCTCACGTACATATGGGCATGTCAGTACTTTAAGACCAACTTGAACCTATCCTTTAATATTTGAAAGCGACAGGGACACCTATTTCCACTGAGAGCAGCGCTGGGCAGTAAAAAGGTGTCCTGTGAGCTACACAGTGACTGTGACACCTGTATCCATAGCAACCCAATCGTCTTTTATTCAACAAGTAGTGCCAGGGAGGTGACAATCGCTGCATTGTCTGAATGTGCCTCAGGAGAAATCTATGACGCAGATACACAGTGAGAGGAGAGAGAGAATGTATGACGGGCAGGATTTAGAGACAGAGAGAGAAGGGGTTAAGCTGTGCAGAGTACGACACCAAATCATCTGAGGCACCTCAGGGTGTGTGCGCAAAGGGGGAAGTCTAAAGTGGAGGTGGAATATGAAAGAGCCAGTGGTGAAGAGCACTGAGGGGGCAGCGGGAGGAAATGCATTAGTAAGAGCAAGCCACTATACTTTGGTTCAAAGGTAATGCCAGAGCGAGCATTCGTTTTAAGATACACACTTTCAGAAATGGTACACTGAATTTGGAAGAAAAAGGGAAATGAATATGTGCTTGTTTGCACAGAAAAGTCCTTGAGAGGATACTTGAAAGTTTTCTAAACACGGTTTTTGGTCTACTTGCCTGGGTATTCCCAGAACAGAAAGGTATCCCTGCACTCCAATTCAAGAACCTTATAAGACCTGAGCGTTTTAGTTAATACACAGCTCTGTATGCAAATTTATATTATTTAGTCTTATGAAAAGAAAAATGGACATTTATCGAAGTAAATCCCCACCAAAAACATTTGAGGGTTAAAGAAACACCTTTCAAGCACTACTTGGTTTGCAACTCAGCATTTGAGAGCCCACTGGCACAGAATCAGGTTTAAGAGCATAATCCCTGCCATGCATGTGCTCATTTCTCAGTCTGCACTCAGATTTTTCCACTGCGGTTTGTGTGGAAGTGTGTATGTGCCAAAAGTTTTGAAAATGCACAAAACGAGTTCTTCAGTTTGCAGAGGGCATGGATTTGTAAGAGCGAGGGAGGACGGAATTGTGAGTGGAACAGATGATTTGAGAGAGCAGCAGGGATCCTCCCTCGCTCTCAAATGTGATTCTGTTCTTACAGGTCCGTAAATTCTCAGATTTGCCAATTGAAGAGTGCTCATAACTTGTTTTCTGCATTTTCAAAACTTTTGGCACTGACAGACTTCCCGCACAAATCCCAGTGGAGAAATCTGAGAGCAGAGACTTAGAAATGAGCACACACATGGACTGTGTTCTCAAATCTGATTCTGCACATAAAAATATTTGTCTGTTGGGCTGGGCTGTTGATGCAGTGTAGTTATGATACCTTCAGACAGCGGGATGGAGATGATGACACCGTTTCCTGTCCCCACCCACAGGCGGCCACAGGACACCAGGAGAGCTGTGATTCTTACAAAAGAGAAACCCAGTTTACCTGTACCTGCAACACACACAGAGCACACATTTGTTGGCAGTTTTAGTTCATGTGCAAAAGATCTGGAGGAACAAAAAGGACAGTTCACTTGATCTAAACTATACAGATGCAGCTTTTTCTTTTCAATTTATTATATCTGCCCCTGCTCTGTGAACAAAACTGAACTTCTGAATGACAGTTCACATGATGCTTTGGCCAGTGCAGATTGAATTTATGAACAAATCCACAACAATCAGCTGGAAAATGGTTATTTGTATAATTTAGTATAACTCCGTGCGCGTGCTCAAGGCTGCTTAAATAAACCACATACCTGGGCAAGGAGAGAAACCACGAGGTAGTCGGTGGAAAACGGCATTTCTCCGTGATGAATTTTCGCTAGATATTTCAACAGGTTGCTGGTATTTCCACCCTTACACGCAAAAGACTAAAAGCGAACCTGGAGCGCTTTGAGTTCTCAGCGACCAGATGCAAACCGCATCACAGGTTCAGAGGAGTCTGAGTTTGTTCGGAGCGTTCACATTGAGGCAAAAAATGCTGACTAATCGCTCCAAGTTTGTTTTGAAGGCTAAAAGGGACCAAGTAACCCTTACAATCTGTTAGGCTGTCTTATTTACATAAAAAAACATGAAGTCGTCGGTGCTTGGAGACCACACGATATGTATTGCTAGACAAAACGATACATATTGTGACATTTTTGTATCGTGATATATTGCATTTTGATATTTTGTCCCATCCCTGTTGGACAGCTTAGAACACTGCTGTCTCATAGTAACATCAGCCAGTGACTATTACAATTAAAACAATTCTCTGGTCAGGTCAAGGTCAGTGAAGAGATGCTGATTTCTGACAGAAGTGACTGGTTGAGAGGTAGAGGACAACATGTATACCCAGCATCTTGCTGACGTAGGGCTCGATGTCCACGTCCTGGAGGTGCTGGTAGGTGTGGGCATGAAACAAGCGGAGGGTTGAATCTAGTCGGATGGACACCCAGATACCATCTCCAACCCAGGCCAGCTGCCGCACCTGGCTCTCCTTTCGAGGATGAGCGTCAAATGACTTCTGCTCCGGCGAGACACATTGAGAGGACGGGATGTTAGAACTAAGGTTAGTTGTCATAGCCAAGCAGCCTAAGTTAGAACATTGTGGAAATGTATGACTTTCATTTGTCACTAAGACAAAACTACTACCTAAACTAACATTAATAAGTTATGGCTGTTATGTAACAGAAAGTTTACTGAATACAGTACCGTACCTCTATCCTCATGGCCTTGGGCTGGATGACGTAGATCTTGTTCCTGTAACCGCACCACACCTTGTCGTGGACTACTGTCATACAGCGGATGGAGTGGTGAGGCCGGCCTAGATCCAGCAGGTGGTAGTTGGTGAGGTCCCACTGACCGTCTGCATGGGAGAAACAGAGACTAAAGAACCAAGGTATCTGGTGTATGAAAGGGACAAAAGAGGTTTTGGCAAAAACAGCTCCATCCAGTAAATGTAAATATTAAACAACATAAGATCTCTTAACTTGCTACGCAGCATTTGTAAAAATCTGTGTTAATTAATTGTGACAGTGTGGTGGCATGAAAATTCATAACAATCATTGAATGAAATGCAAAAACAAAGAAGCAAACTTTAATTTTTACAATTCCACAGCTTGTCTTACCACAGACAGAGACTATGCCACACACTCACCGATGCCTCTGTGGAAGATTGCTAATGTCCCATCAGCCAACGCTACCAGGACTCTCCCCTTAACATGCCTGTAAAAGGTGAGACACTGTGTCATATTGTTCCTGTTTGGCGTGAGTGTGTGCAGCCGTGAATAACGGCACAAACAACTTTGTACTCACACTATGCTGAGGATGGAGTCTTTCAGTTTGATAGCATGCAGACACTTCCTCCATCGAGCCACAGACGAGTGGACATAGAGACTTAAAAGAGAGATAAGGAAAGGGTTGATACCAGTACAGTGCATAAAAAAACACCTTTCTCAATGAAGTCACACTCTGATCATCTCTTGTTCCATCATTCTGTTCACTGTATAAGTGCCACCCTTTATGTTTCTGTACTTATAGCACCCCCTAGTGGCTGTTGTCATTCTCACCACCCGTTCTGAGCTCCCAGCCACATGGTGGGGAGAGCGCTGCTCATCCTCTGGACTTCTCCCTCAGAAGCATCTGAGTCTTCTGGCACGGAAGTCAATCCAACCTGCCCGGAACCCCTGGATCACAGTAGGTAAATGTTTCACCAGATTTTCAAACACACCTTTCAAGATAAACTGTAACCTGTGACTTGCACAGACTTGCTTAATATCAGTTCTTTGGTGGTATTGGGGTTATATGGAGGAAAAATCCTCTCATAACTAGCCACAAATGCATAGTTGGCCATGTAATACAGTCGAGATTACAAATGTGTAAAAACAATTTTGAGTGCAGTTCATTAAAATGTATTTACAGATCGTTAGATGTGTGTTTGTGGTTTTGAGAATATTTTCTTGTTCTCACATCTACACATATATAGTGCATTTAAGGACAGGCGGAAGACTTTGACATTTGGTTTTTCAGACTTTTTCCTAATACCCCTTGACTGGACTTTAATTTCATTAAATACATATTTAACATGGAATATTCAGATGTTTCAGCTTTGGCTTTGTTTTATTATGACTATCGATTTATGATCAATATTTAAAGGTAGGGTTGGCGATTCCTTTCAGAAGCATTTTTTGTTACATATCGTGAAATTCTCTTTTTATCCCGATGGCAATGAATAAATTAAATGCAGGTAATGTTGTTGCTACCTGCATGCAGTGTGCGCAGTATGAGAGTGAGAAGAACAGACTCCTTACTTGCAGCTACAGGTGGAGAAATACCAACAGTAGTCAGCTCTAAGTGTCTAGATAGGACTGTAATGCAGTTAAAACGCGTTTTGAACGGATTTAGCTGGCCTCCTTGTTCACTACCTTTAAAGTATTGCCAGTCCTCTGTTCACCTTAGGAAATGTGCTAACAGTGCTACTAGTTTAACAACCTACTAGATACCAACATTAGCTCAGTACAGCATCTCTACAACACTAAGGTTCCACTGCTACGATAAAGATTCTGTCTGTCAAAAGTACTTTTTTAATCTTGGGAAATCTTTTTTTTTTCCTTTTATGTCAGATATAAGGATGGAAAATAATAAAATAATTGTACTTCATCAAAATGAGAGCCTGAAAAGCCAAACTTCCAAGTTTTTCACGTGGCCTTAAACGCCCCATATCTTTGAATCTGAGAATGAGAAAATACTCTGAAAAACCTGCCAGCAAGGGTAACATGACCCATGTGTCAGGTGATCTGACACATCTAACATTATGCAAATACATTTTAAAGAACTGCACAGAGAAAATCATTTCTATGCATTTACAGCCATCGTGAGACGCACACAATTCAGCTTTTATACATTTGTCTATATTTGTAAATCTACAAATACGCATTTGTGGCTAGTTATGACAGAATTTTACCTCCATAGGTTTATATCTGAGACATTTACTCTGTATCCTAAATATCCTGATGTTTTTATTTTGAAATGTCCACCAAGTTAACACGTAATGTCTGTACAGATATTCTTAAATGTAGAATAGTTTGGAATTGTCGCAAACTGTTAACATCATGATTTCTATGGTCAAGCTGACAAAGCAGACACTGCAAAAGGCTCCTCCTCACCTGTGTGTGTCAGCAGGAGTGGGGTCAGTAGGTCCCACCCCCAGTGGGTCAGTGAACACATGTTCTGTGTAGATCCCTGGTTGGTTCTGATCCGGTCCCTGGTCGTCCTCTCCTTCTTCACCCACACCTGCATTAGCCTCCGTCGCTTCTGTTGCCTCTTCTGCTGTAGGAACTCCGTCCTCTGCTGGACTGCTCTCTCTGGACAGCTCGACTGTGGGAATTGTGGAGCACAAGGTTGTTCAGGGAGAAGGAAAGTTTTATTTTTTTTAGGGGGGGGGGGTCAATTGTCCCCTATGATCTGAGAGTGAGAAGCAAACCTGGCTGCTTTAGTTTCAGAATTTTCGGAAGGCAACTACCTGAGCCAGGGATGGCGCTATGCTCAGTTGGCTGGTCAGTGACACCTGAGCTGGCTGTCTGGGGGATGGCGGTGGCCCCCTCTGCTGCCATGGCACCATCGCTGCCTGTTGAGCCTACACTGGCCACACTGCCCGCTAGTGACACCCCATCACCTTGGCTAGCCTCCGGGTCCTGGGGTACCTCTTCACCTGCTGGATAATCAGTCTCCAACACACCTGGGAAAAGCAATAGACAACCCCCCAGTCAAGATTCTGTGATTACATCCAAAAAAAAAATCTACACTTATGGATAACAAAGAAAGACAACCCACTGAACCTACCCGCACAAACAAACAGAGTGCCCAGTGAACCTACCTGGCACACTGGCAATGCAGACAACATGGGTGTTACAGGCATAGAAGTTGTCAAGCAGGTCAGAGGGCTGAGTGGCGTCCAGCACCATAACCTTGGTGGAAGAGTGGGTGCTGGTGCACACCCATACCCTACCGGACATACTGTCCTGAAGGATCAGCTCCTTCTCCTGTTCCCCTTTTTCCGGATCCTTACAAACAACATGAAACTCCAAATCAAAGTTTGGGTCAACACAGTTCAACTTCTGTTCAAACATTATGATAATACAAAAACACAGCAGGACGACCACAGCCTCTTCCATATACCACTTACCTTATTCTCCTGCTCCATTTGGTCCAGGCTGCTCTGAGAGCCCTTCGTCTGCTTTGTGAGCTCTGATGTCCTGCCCCCTGACAGGTTGACCCCTGCAGCACACCACATCTGAGAGACAGAGAGGAAATATATTCTTCAGAATTCAAGGAAATGCACAGAGACAATTATATTTTAAGTGTTATCTAGGTTTTATTTAAGTACCTTCATAGAAGCATCTGTCTGATCCAGAGGTCTCAAGTAAACTGGTACAGGTAAGTTTATTTTGTTCTCCACCTGTCCACCATTAGCCACCTGTCAGTGAATAATCAGCACATGCAATGGCCACAGACAACACGATAAATATCAAGTATGATGTAAGAGTTCTGAGCTATATTTAGTAGTTTAGATGACTGTTTAGACAAAAAGGCTACAACCTCCAACAAACATCACTATGATCCAGCCACTGTGCTCTAAACCTGCTTTGCCTACTTTCTTTCTGTTCACACTGTCATTTTCTACCTTGTATTTGCTGGGTAGGCTCCAGCCGTGCGCAGTGACTCGTCCATCCTCTTTCTGCATGTGGGCCTTGACTTGTCTGTACTGGGCTCTCTTCTGCTCTTTACGTGATGGGGAACTGCACTGGTCCTTTCTACAACATGAGCAAAGAGAGAGGAGTACGTGATCAGCTGACATATATACGTTATAAATATGTACATTATCACGGGCCATTAGGTGAAAATATTCCTAGAAATGTTGGTACACAAGTTTCACATTCTGTGCTGATTTCAAAATTTCCCAAAACATTTCCACTTGACCCTATTACTCACTCTTCAGTGAGGAAGTCGAAGGTCTTGGACTTCTCTGTGGGGAACTGGGAGAAGGTGCTGCTCCTCTTCACCAGGCTGCTTGAGGCATTGTATTTCACGTTGGACTGGGACTCCACCTTCTTTATAGCAGGGACACTGGAGGATGAGCTAAACAGTCTGCTGAAGCTACAGAGCGCCAAGAGGGAAACGGAGCCGATGGGGGTGCAGGGAAAAACCAAGGAAGGGAGGTCACCAACCAGCCAGACAACCAAGGAACTACTGTAGATGCCCAATCCTTCCCAGCTGTCCGATCCGTTCTGCGCATGCACCGGGAGTTATGGGTAGTTGTTAGGACAGAACAGAATGGGCAGCTGGGATGGATCAGGCAATGACATCTACCATAAACATGTACAGTACAGTGACAAAGCATGCTGGGAAACAGCTGAGCACTTCCTATTTGTGTCTTTAGCACCAATTTTCAAGGTGACAGTTTTTACAGGATGGTCTTGTACCTGGATATTGACACTAAGGTGTCAGAGACACCAGTATTTAAAGAAACCCAGGGGGAAATGTATCTATGAAAAGTATAATATATCCCTTTAGAAGTGATTCATAATTAAACCATTTAGGATGCGTCAGCAAAAGCACTGCCAATGTACAGTTTGAACAAATGAATAAAAACATAACGGTTCAGGAAATAAACATTTCTGAATGTCTAAGCCGTCATTTCAGAATGGTGTTTGATTATTCTGACCTGTACAATAATATCCATATATATTATACAATAGAAACTTGTGTGCAAAAATAGATTTAAAAAAAATGTTGCACTAAATGAACATATTCAAATCATAGGAGACTGAATAAATTTTTTTGTTGGGTGATTATGCTAAAACTGACATGATGTACTGCATTAGCTTACTACATTATTATTATTATTACTTTTTCTGGATGTCTGCTCAGTTGAGCCTAATAAAGCCAACGTGTCTGCTAAATCAAGTAAAAAGAAAAGTCTCACTGCTCTTCCAACACGGCCCAACTTGCAATACTAAAAATGTATGTGAATAATTTCAAAGAAATGTCAGGAGTTGACTTGGAAGGCTGGCAAAACTAAAGACCTGGCAAGAGATGGATGTAAACAGTAAATCTGAGAGGACTCACAACTGCCAGATGCTGGATTTCTTTTTTTCCGTGAGTGTTGGATTTTCTCTCGAGGCCCTAAAGAACAGGACAGGGTGATGTAAACTGTTGTCATTTTGCAGACACACAAGTACAGATGATGGGGAAGGGTCACTTATTGCTTCTTTGCTCTTTAGTTGTAATCTTATTTTTGTATCTGTTTGATGGTGAAATACTAAGATGTTACGAAGTTAGAGAGAAGATGATAGGCCAACAGTAACTTCAGTTTAATCATTAACATGATTGTCCCCACTTGTAATTTCACAGCCCATTGTTCTGTACCTGATCATCTCCGTCCACCGCACAGCTTCCTGTAGCTCCATCAGTCTCTCCTTGTACTGGTTTCTTTCCATCAGGACTCTGGCCATCTCCACTCTGGTGAAACGTTTCCTCTGGGCTGTGGGGACATCACTCTGTAGCAGCACACAATTAAACCCACGTATGACAACACAGAAGGACATGTATTATCTTAGGAATGAGCTACATCTCGACAGAAACAGGACAAACTGGTAGGCTTGTATATAAAGTGGGAAAAGTTCAGTTGTAGTGATTGACTCACATCTTCTTCATCTTTAGTTTTCTGTTTTACATCCTCCATCTCCAGTCGCACTCTGGAAAAGACCATATATCAGAATCGTTATTTGCCAAGTATGTTGAACACACAAGGAATTTGTCTCCGGTACAGTGGCTCTCAATGTGCTTTGGTAAAACGGCAAATATATCCAAGATTGGTAAAAAAAAAAAAAGTTCTGTTGTAAATTTGTAATTCACAAGCACAGCAGTAATAAAACTGTTGACTTACTTTTTGAGTTCCTCCTCCAGCTCTCTGTTCTTGTCGTCCAGCTTGGCCTTGGCCTGCAGCAGGGCCTCCAGCTCGCCCTGCAACATTTCCTTTTCACAGGTCAACTCGTCCACCTTCAGTATCAAGTCTTTATTCACAACGTTCAGGGCGTTCCTGGAGAGACAGGGAGCAAGGACATGTTGGTATAATTATTCAACTTTTTAAGTTTACTTTTGCTCTGAGTTCAACACATGCACACAATGGCACGAAATAAATATCAAAGTCATTAAGTTTTGTGCTTACTTTGTCTCAAGAAGTTGTGAATTCTCCTGAATAAGATTTTCAACTTCACGGCCCATACCTGAACAGAAAACAAGCTAGTGCATAACTACGTAAGCTCTATACATTAAGATACACCAAGATGCTACATAGGATATGAAATATTTGTTACTGTAGGTTTGACAGTACAAAAAAATTAGGACAATACACAAGGCCACAGCACGTCTCACATGACTGACAGGAGAAGGATGGATAGAGTGAGTGAGGTCTTACCAATCAAACTAAGGTCTGAGAAAACCATGCAATCCAAGGCAAGAGGAAAGAATTGGGAAGAGAGGGGGAGAAAGAAATGCAGATATAGTATGAGACAGTGGAATGACCAAAATGATGGCGGAGCCGCAGCTGAACAACTGTGGCTGTCGACTCCACAAGCAAAACGGAAGAGAAGCTGCAGAGTCTCTAAGGCTAGTTACATTCAACAATCGCAGCAGTAGACAGAAGGAAAAGAGACAGTTTAAGCTGTATAAAGAATAGTTAAGCCAGCAAAGGAGGAAGTCATCACCGTCATTCAAGAACCAAACATTATCAAAACATATGCAGCTAAAAAGGTTCTAAACTGTGCACTGGAGAAGCTACTGTATGACAACTGTTCAAACATAATGAAGAAGAAGCTGTGAGCTACAATGAGGGTGGATGTAGCAGAAAGTAAAGAGCCGAGGTCAAAGGGGTGTTAAGCTAAGGAAAGGTTTGAGGTCATACACACCGGAGTACTCCACTGGGATTATGGACAAAAGACAGGGGAGAGAAAGAGGTGATATTAACACATGTATATGGCTAAGACTGCTCCTTACAGCTGGAGCACAGCAAGCGGTGGGACAGCGCAGCAAACAGTAGGTGCTAGTAAACTAGTACTATCAGTAGAACAACAGCTGCTAGCCAAACACTGTAGCATAGCTTCAGTAAAACAGAAGTCACTGAGTATTCAGGGTAATAATGCAGCATTTTGTTTGTATTAACCAAAGTTTCACTGATAAAGAAAACCTAGTCTCAGGTAAACCAACATGTCAGGGAGCTCTATGATTGGCGGTTCACCACTTATAAGACAAACCAATCACATTACTGCAGTCACAGTTTACCTCTGACCTGTGTATACCTTGAGAAATTAATTCAAAAAGTGGTGATCATTATGAGCAGCACCATGTTTAGGACGCCCCAATAGCCCTGTGCGATTTTAACAGACAAGTAGCAGCCAATTACAAGTGAGTATTTTCCATGGCCATGGTGCAACTGTCAAAATAAAAATCAATACAATAATAATAAAATCATACAATATGCAAAACCTTGGAAATTGAGCTCTTACTGAACCTGTCATGAGCTGCAATGTTCCAGTGAAGATAATTACTCACCCAGCAGGTCGGCCCCTTCATCCACATCCCCTATGAGCCCAGTGCCTGCAGACGACAGCTCCTCAAACAGGGAGTCTGTGTTGCGGTCAAATGCCATGTTTTCGATGCCTTTGGTAGGAGTACTGGAAGAGTAATAACAACAGGAGGTGAGGTTCTGTAAACTGTGTGACATTTTAATTAAAACTAACACAGCAGCAGGGTCCTTGTGCTACCTGCAGGGCTTGTAGCCAATGAGATCCATGTCCAGCTCAGGGGTCGACTCAATAATGTCCTGCACATCCGAGCTGTCCTCATTTTCAGGTAAGCCTGCGCAAGACACAGAGAAAGGATTTGAGTATAAATCTACAAAAGGTGTCATTAGTTATGTTTGGTTGTGTTTGACTTTTTTAGGGCAAAAACTAATTTACAGCATATTTAAGTGATATACTGTGTATGAGGAGGGCATGCAGGTCATCAAGACTAATGGATGATCAATGAATGTGGTTCTGCAGCCAGTGCAGTTTGGTGATGTTTGACCCTACCCACTGATATGGATCTGGTCCCTGGTGCAGCCTGCACCTCAGTGCTCTTACTGTTCCCATCCTCCCTCTCCATGGCCGAGGTGGTTGTGGACTTGGAGCCACTCGAGTTCGACAACTCCTCCTGTAAACACAGGCAAGATTTACAGATAGCTCAAAGTTGAGGGTCACTAGTGATAAAATGAAGAAACACAAAAAACTAAACATTACAATTCTGTCACATTAATGGGAAAGTGCTAATCACAAACTTGAAAAGGCTAAAGATTCAATGGGAAAGTGCTAATCACAAACTTGAATAGGCTAAAGATTCACTACATGCGCTACACATGCAGTACAAGAGAAGACACACGAGTCCAATTTGTTTTAGTGCTTAACCTCAAAGTTACTTAGGACAAGAAAGAAATGTGAAATATTAAAATGCAAGCTAACTATGTGAACCTGGAGCTCAAGAAAATGATTGAACACGCATAACAAAGAACCTTAAAACACTAAACAAAGCTGCACACGGACAAAGCTGTGCATGGAATGAGGACATATGTAAAGAGAAAACATGAGCAGCTAACACAAACACAAAGCCCACACAGAACTGCACAGATTGCAGAAGATTGTCACACAACATCTACTGAACATTAATAATACAGTACGCACAAGGGGAGCTGCCATTCCACCTCTACTACACAACACAACACAAATCCACAGAAGATACAAAAATAACAAGTTTTTTGTACATGAAGTCTCAGGGGACACAACTACAGAATAAGGCTTAAATCTATGTTATGTTACTGTACAATGAGTGATCAGTAATGCTGAAGATCTGAACAAAAGTGAAATATAATACTCATGCGTTTGAACCATCAACTGTAAAAACGATGGACAGGCTAAGAGCGTGCAGAAGTGAAGCCTCTGCGACTTGGTCGCCCCCTGGTGGCCGATTGCAGTATATGTCAATATTTCAGACGATTGGCAGTCTGATGCTGCTGCTGCACAGAATCTGGTTGTAACAAAGCAAGATGGCATGAAAATTTGGCTTCACTTTTGTATAGTGAAGTGGTGATGCCATGTCCATCATATACTGTCTATGTCAATGGTTTGAACTGAAATGATAAACTCAGAGGCCAGATGCAACCACGCCGTTACTGACTCTGAGATTAATAAAGTGGCACACAGCTGGCTGTTGTGTGTATTTCTTCTGAAAGACCCCAGTGTGGCCTTCAGACTGGACATGGTTGCATGTGGCAGTCTAGCACAGATGATCCATGAGGTGAGAGTCTATAAATGCACAAAGTAAGAGGTGATGCTTTTGAAAAGATGAAACAGCACAGAGGAGGCGACTGAAGCCCACACAAACACAAACACTGCACTGTGCACAGCCGCTGCAGGTGTGCTGCTGCTGCTGCTGCTGACACTTCCACCAGCCACCAGTCATCCAACTACCTTGCAGTCATCTGCCAGTGAATTCACCCAAGTAGAGTCCTGCGCACTCTTACCCCCCTTTTCCAATGGGGGGTCGGCAAAGTCCAACTGCTTGGGGGGGAAGAGGAAGATGAAGCTCACATGTGCAGATGCAGTTCAGCAGAAATGAATACACCCCAAAGTGTGCATGTCTGCGAAGTGGATAGAAAAGTGCTACTGTGTGCGGTAAAGTGTGTATATCCATCCTGTAAATGTGTGTGTGGGTGGTGTATGAAATGTTTTTGGTTAATTAGGGATGTAACGATATTTCTAATTTCACTATATTGTGAATATTCTATTAAATTTTCTTGATACCATTGTGGGACTTGTTTGTTTTCATATTTCCTTAACATCATGATAAATATTCTACCATGGACTTTTTACTATGGAAACATCGTAACGTGAACTTTTGGCATCGTTACATCCCCAGTATGTAATGTAGCTATAAAATATTTTTTAAATATGTGACTAATGCTACTAATTGTAGAACTGAACCAACCGGCTAATTAATCAATTACTGTTGTTGACTAACAGACAAACACTTTGATATAAAATGATATAACTGCTTTTAAAAATGATTTCCATGATCTGTGCCAGCTTTAAAGGCAGTGGGATGGTTTTGTTTACATGTACATGACTCGTATTGTGGGTGGAGCATGCAGGCATATGCTAGGGCTGGACCCCAATATCTAGTACTGCAGGATGGTCACCCAAGCCCACCCCACCCCCAGCGACTATTCAAATATTATGGTCGATTGTTACCACCAAATATCCGAAGCCAAAGACTTGCCATTTGGGACAGCCCTAGCACATGCACGTCATTAATCTGTTGTTCATTTCCACTTGCTGAGGCGACACCACACACTGCTATACATGAATATGACATCTGTGTTTAACCCTAAGAGCCTGTCTGCATATCAAAGCCACTTGTGGTCAAAAGGCTCAACAATAACAGTCCTGTAGCGCTGATTACATAAGAACCAATCACATTCCAGCTAGCCTTTTTCTCCCTCTCTGACTGGCTGCGGGCCATACAGTGGCATCACTCCCATCATGCACCCTGCCACAGAGCTGGTGTCCCAGTTTTAACTAAAACGTAGCAGTGGCATTAAATGGCATTAGCCCTCTCCTGGTCCTAACTGCCACAGATACAAACACAACAATGTTTTAAAAAAGCTCTGATCATTGCTTTGAACGGAGAACTACTTACTCGTAGCTGAGAGAATGGTTCCGTAAAAAAATTATTACAATTATAAATATTCATGAGGTACATTTAATGGCCTCCTCTGAATGCTGCACAAGGGGGAGTTTGCATATTCATCAGTGGCTAAAGAGGATGTCTGAAAACAGAGGTGGCCTTGTCAGATGTCTATACCCTGTCTTCATCAAAGGCTCTATTTTTAAATGCATCCAAAGCCAAAACTCCTCTGTCTTCTAGCACTGGCAGGAGGGCTGCTAACACTCAGCCAGGACACGGGATTACAGTGATCATATCAGTCTTATTTTAATCAGGCAGCTAAAACAGCGCCCCGTGCTTTGGTTGTGGTTAATATCCAGGTATCAAATAGTTTGAAGCAAGTAGTTTTGCCATCTGATCTTAACAATTCAGTGAATGGACTAACTCCATCAACATAATTCAGACGGGACAATTAGCATGTGACACATCGACAGGCAGGACACACGAGGAACACAGTCAAAACAATCAAGCTCTTCTAACATGTTGGTCTTTGAGTTATTTGCAGTGTTACGCTGCATGATTCTAATTTCCACATTCCCCATGTGGGTTATCAGGAAGGTATTATGTGGTGTTACCCTAAAAGTTGGTTCGTTCTCTGAAGGGAAAAATAAACAAAGTCCACATGAAGGCAGTCATACCACACCCACCCACCTTGAGACTGGTGTTGGAGCCAGGCTGTGTCGGGTCAGGGAACCTCCAACCCTCTGAGCCCAGTGTCTCGGCTCTGGCCTGAGGGTCTGGGATCAGCAGAGACACACCAGCAGATGAAGGGAAAATTCCCAAAGACAGAGGCCGCTCTCTCCTGGAGAGGATGGAAAGATAAGAAGAAAGATCTCCAATCATGTTTCACATTTGTTTCCTAACACAAACCTATCTGTTGTGACCTCACCTGACTCGGCCGACGGCGCTCAACTCTGAAGTCTCACTAATCTGCTGCATTTTGATCCTCTCTACATGCTCCATATAATTATGGATCATCTGCAGAAGTCAAGGCACAAGACCCAGAAGAAACTAGTCATGAATGCTGTTAATGACTACAACTCAACTTTTCCTTCCCTCTGCCCTTCCTCACCCACTTACCTCTGTGTGTCGCTGATGGAGGGAGTTGTACTCCTTCTTCAGCTCCAGCTCTCGTTCTTCTAACCTGCCAACTGAAGCAGAGGACTTGTCAAATCAGTTTATTAAAAGCACCTCTGACCCATACAACAAGACAAAAAAAAGAGGACCCCTATATTGCAAATCAGATGTGTACCACAAAGTACCTACAGTCTGTAGCAGGTATACACTGGGCAATCTAATCCAAATGTGTGTCAGCGGACTGACAAAAACACCTAGTCCCCTATTAGGTTAGGTTACTTTATTTATACCCGTAGGTAAATTTGTCTTGCAGTCAGATCAAATGACATCCGTGATACATTCACAAAATACAAGAACACATAACATAAAACCTGGCGCCTACGCCGAACGTAATAAAAGTACTCAGGGCTCCACCAATCAAGACATAAAAGAAAGAAAACATCTGAAGAAAACCTAAAATTACTTACAATAGATTACTACAGGCTATTTAACTCTATAACAGCAGCAGGGACAAAACTATTTCTATACCGCTGCGTTTTACATCTCGACAAACCTTCATCCAAAAGGAAGAAGCCGAAAGTGGCAGTGCAAGGGATGGGAGTCATCATTCAGAATAGAAGTAACTACCCTCTGTACCTGTCTACTGTACAGGGCTGCTAAACTTAACTGTGACTCCCCAAGCAAGCGACTAGACCACTTAATTACTTGCTCCAAGGATTTCCTCTGTCTTAACGTTATCTGACCAAACCATGACACTAGAGAAAACGATAAAATAGATTCAATAAAAGCTCGATAAAACATATTCATTAAGGTTCGCACATATTCAATAGTCTGCCCCTTAATTAAAGTGACTTCGTGCCTATGAGGTTTCCCCCTAAAATCTATGAGCGTATCTTTAGTTTTTGTTGTATTTAGTTGCAGATAGGATTCCTCACACCAATGGACAAAATCCTCAATGACTGAACCATGGCTACCTTCACCATCACTGAGGAGACTAACAATAACGGAGTCATCGGCATACTTTATAATAGTTCTATTGTCACATCTACTCTGACACATATTTGTGTAGAGAATAAAAAGTAAAGGTGACAGCACACACCCTTGAGGAGAACAGGTGGAAGAACCCCTCTGGTCAGATAATATGCCGTTGCATATGCATATTGAGCAGAGTAATTGTGGCATCCTCCACTCCTCTGTGAGGCCTATATGCAAACTGCAAAGGATCCAGTACATGTTCAGTCTGCCTCAGGACCTCCGATCTGACCAGCCTCTCAAAAATCTTCATTAAAACTGAAGTCAGAGTGACTGGTCTAAAATCATTCAGAGTTGCAGGATGGATGCAGCTGGATTTAGGAACAGGGACAACAACAGCATCCTTCCAGAGCCTAGGTACATATTGTGTCTGCAGAGACTTATTAAAAATATACTGAAACACAGGACTCAGTTCATGTGCACAAGACTTCACTAAGCGCCCACATACATTATCTGGGCCCCGCAACTTTTATTTATTTACTTTTACCGCACAGAACGGTACTAGCATATCAGGTTTAGGCTGAGCTGCTACGACAGACACATATACTGTACTGTATAAAATCGTTTACAGCAGCCGAAGCATCTGCATCTTGGATGATGACGTCTTTCCTGAGTGTGCATTTTGACACCACAGTGGGATTCGTTCTTCTCTCATGACTTATCAAATTCATGGTGATGTGTAATGAAGTGAAGGGGAGACAGCGGAAGTCTTTAGTTTTCACTCAGTGAGGATTGATGTGACTAATCGCTGTGTGGGGAAACTGAATGTGAGCCTGTGATACCGACTGAAGCTGTAATCTATTAACCTAAAAAGCTATTTGACATTAAACTGAGTTTCTTTTTATAATCTCCACTCTAACAGGATGCTCTAAACTAAATAGCAGCGTAAAAATGAACACTGTAATTCCACTAATCTGTTTTGGAGCTGCATAATCACCCACTAAGGTCCGTTTAATACACTCTCATACATCTGCTGGGAGGTCTACAGGGTGAGGTGGGTGTTTAGGTGTTAATCTGCATGATCAGATCGCTGGATGCCTTTTACTTGACCAATGCAGTAGAACGTGCTGAGGCTTTGTATTAGTACAATACATAAAAATAGCAGTAAATCTCAAAATCACTTATAAGGCTCAGCGTGCCGGTACAGACGAATGGATAGAACTGAACAGAGATAAATAAAACCACAAAACAAAAACAGATAAACTGTCAGTCTCCTTAGTGACAATAAGGCGTAATAAAACTATACTGTTGTTGTCTATAATCCACTGTGGCCTTATTACTGTAACAGCACAGTAACCGTGGACTCTGTCCTGCACAGGTGATGTCTCAGCTCAGATGTTGCAACAATGAATGAATGATTGACTGTTGAGTGGAAGCGGCAGAAGCAAACTTGGCTTTGCTGAGATTGAAATCATGAAGGAACCCTCTGAGTAGCTGCCTACACTCAAGGATCCAGGTGAACTGTGACAATGATGAGTGACCATGGAACAAAACTACAGCCAATTCTCCAGAATAAACCAAACACTGAGCTACTTATGTTTTTCTTATGAATCTGTCAGCCAAAAGTCAGACGTGAGAAATTCATGTTATCCCCAGCCCCCACCCCACTTGAACCAGCTGTGTTGCTACCAGATACTGAACCACTGGGTGAATCCACTATTTCCAAAGAAGACAGAATGTCAGAGCCTCAGTTCCTTCTAATCCACCAATAACATGGGCGGTAATGCGCTGTCGCATTAGGGGGACGGGAATAACAGCAATCCTATAATCCCATTACTGTTACCCCGCAGAGAGGGAGAAAGAGTGCGAGTGTGTATGGGTACGTCAGTGTGTTGGAGAGTTCATAACAAGCCATGAAAGACACATCAGAGTAGTGAGGATGATGATATGAAGAGAGTAACACAATGACAAAAGCAGAAGTGACAGAATAGTCGCTCATAATTACCACGACGGAGACTAGAGCCCTTTTCAGACATGCACCGCACCCCTGAACTTATCTAGACATTACGCAGACAGGAGCTGTATGTGTGAACACAAATGTCTGAGTCAGTTGGCGCGGACATTAAACGGACTTACCCCGCCATCTCTAGTACAAAATCTGTGTAATGTCCAACTGAGCCTGTCTGAATAGAGCAGGTGATTGTCCAGAGAATTCACACAGACACAGAAGAACCCAAGAACCCGAGGATGAAAAACAAGTGTCATTTACAATGAAGACGCCAACGTCAAGGTTCAAAGATGATGAGATTCTGGAACATCTGTCGTTAAGAGCTGACGCCAAAATCGACTGTGTACCTTCTGCGTCATGTCCTGCCTCCTGTGTGCTCTACCCAGGTGCCCCCCACCCACAGTGTGCTTACTCTGGTCAGCGTAGTTCTTGATCTTGAGTTCCAGTTGCCGGGAGTGGGACTCCATTCGGTCCACATGGTTCTGCAGGTCCTTCTTGTCCTGTTCATGAGTGTCCTCAAACTCAATGAACTTCTGCTCAGACACACACACACACACACACACACACACACACACACACAGAACTCAGTCAGATTCGAAGCCCCATCATTTGCCATCAACAGTCTGATGCTGTTTAAAGTGATGAACAGCAGATTGTGAGCCAGCTACTATCTCACCATGAGTGGTCTACTGATGTTACTCCTGTAATGAAACAATGCATCAGAAATATTATTTTACTAGATTTGTACGGGACATAAGCAGTATTAGTATCAGTTGTTTCAGTTATTTCTCAGGCAAAACGGTGACAAACGATTCTCTGGTTGCAGCTTCTTCAATGAGAGAACGAACCGCTGTCAAAAAAAACAACATAAAAATAAAAACAGGACATTTGCAGACATTATGCTGGAACATGAGAAGTTGTGATCGACCTTTTTACCAGTTTAAAACTTTTATAAATTAGCAGCCGATTGATACATAACACAATAAAAGCACAAACTGTGCACTGCGTTCCCTGTGACAACATGAGCAACATGTACCATGACAACGGAAATGTGTCTGAATCAGGGTCTCGGGGACGGGATCGTCAGCTCACTGGGTCATCCGGAAATTCCGCCGCCTCCCGGTTCCTTTTTTTGGTAGACCTCTGACCGGGAGAGAGAGAGAGAGTGTGTGTGTGTGTGTGTGTGTGTGTGTGTGTGTGTGTCCACATCCTGTCTAGCTGACCACATCAAGGTCATCTTGTGGCTTCCTCCTAATAAATGAAACTCTTACTGTACTTTGAGTCACACACACACGTCAGAGCCCGTCTATTTGACCACTGTATGTAAAACACAAACACATTGTGTCTCGACACAGCGACAAATGATCACAGTCACATCAAACACTGATGTCTGTAGCATTATGTCTGCTGCAGATCTGAAGTGGCCACTACAAGGTTTCCATTCAGGTTCATCCAGCTAACTGGATGTTGTGTAGGAATCATCTAACATCAAATTAAATGTCAAAGTACGGCAAGTGAAAATTAATTAGTCAATCAAAAGAAAATGAATCTGTTTCGATGGTTAATTATGGATTTTTTTTGTTAAACAAATGTGCCCCAAAATTCACAGATTTCAGCTTCTCTATCAGATCTAGATCTATCAGTCTCTTTATCAGAATACAACTAGAAAATCTAGGAAATATGTGCACAGTATTAAAAAACTAAAATGTTAGGAATAATCAGCAATAATCAGGATGCAGTATTCAAGCTGTTCTAAAGAAATATGAAGAAACTGGAGAGGTCAAGGACAAAATTAGGAGACTGGAGGGAATCCAACAAGGACCTGGCTCAGCATCTGGCAGCTTCCAGCTGTTCTACATGCAAAAGGATGCCACACTAAATATTGAATTTGGACTGTAGAAGCCATTTTGTTCTGAAATGTTTGTGTTTCTTTATATTGTGTATCTGTTTTCTGTATTTCCTGGACATATCTTAATAAAGAAACCAAGAAAAACCTATAGATTATCACTACAACTTTGCTAAAATGACTAAACTAACGGTGGCCTAAGACTTTTGCACAGTACTGCAGGTAAGAAATAGTAACAGCAGCAGGTCGTAAAGAGCGGTGTAGATAAACGTAACAAAAACACAATGAAGGTTTGGAACAATGAGAAACTGGAGAAATCACAGATGTCACAGCCGCTGCTTCATTGATTTGCTTTTCATCAGTCTCTCACAAGTTCCCCAACTTTAAGGAAGTTCAGTAAAAAAAAAAAAATCACGACTAATTTAAATGAGAGATACCGATTAAAAACCTGAGTGTGTGGTCACTGGATCAACAGCATGAAATGTATTTGCTCTGTCAACCAATTTAACGTCTCTCTAAGTGAAACCGGGGTCAAAAGGCTGACATTCTGATTTCTAACATTCTCCACATTGATTTTAGCAGTGAATTTGTCTCTGGGACGATGAACAAACACACTGACAGGTTCTGCACGTTTATACTGTAAATGAGAGGGAACACGTACACTTTTTAATGGTGCCATATTTATTTGACAACTGTACTAACACCTCTGAAGCTTTAAAAAAAGGAACATCATATGATAAGCTTATAAAACAATACATTACAATGAAACCAGTAGTTTCCAACTATTCTGGCTTGTGATCCCTCATCGCCTCGATGTCTGAGTCCATTGACAAATGTGCATGAGTTGGTCACCTCTCATATAAAGTAGTTCCTTTTAAATAACCGTTTGAGGTCAAATGATGCAAACTTATCCAGAATCTAACACCAAACATTGGAGAACCATCCAAAATATGATATAAATATAAACACAATCCTCAGGAAAGGACCTGGCCTAAGATTAAACAACCCAGCAGTGTATTTAAAACCAGCTCGAAACAATAAAATGCTCCTCAAACACTGATGAATCAGTACAAACAACACAACAATGGCACATATACCAGTCATCTGGTTCATATACCAGTCATCTGGTTCATTTTCCAGTGCTGTATCGACGCCTTCACATAAGTAAAGACTCTTCCACCACTTGTAACTGATTATTATGGGCAATGTCAGGGCCAAAGGTGCAGGGTGTTGGTAGTAGTAGTAAATGTAACATGATCATCATATTGAGCAGCTGTTGTAGGTACTTAGGCAAAGCTCAGCTGGGATTTTTATGACTGTTATGCTGTAATAAATCTATCTGTCTGTCTCCATCATCTTTAGCCAGTGTTATTTTAAACACATGCTACAGTGATGGTCCAAAACGCTGAGTCACTTCACCCGCTGTCTTCTCGGTGAGGGTCTGACAAGGGACCCGGCATGACTCGGCTATCTGCTGCAGTGGCCGAGCTAACGGGCTCTGCGTGCATGTGAGGTTCTGTCCCATCCTTGGGTAAGAAGACACAGCGTTATGTCACTCACTGTCCCGCTAGGAAACAAAGCAGACTGACTTCAGCCATGACACTGCCTTGTTTACATTCCCAGTGAACACCATGGATGCTGCCCGGCCACGTGTATGTGTTAACCGATCACTGCTCGTGTTTGGGGGAGAAAGCACCTGCGACAGCCTTCATTCCGACGACCACCCAGTGCTGGTTTCTCCTCCAGCTCCATTCAACTCACCTCCTCTGCGTGTTTCCTCAGCGCCTTCTCCCGCTCGTACTGGGTGATGAGCTGCTCGTTGTCCTCCTTCAGTAGCTCCAGCTCCACTTCGTGCTCCTGGTTCTCCGCGAACACCGAGTCCAGGTTCTCCAGCACGGCCACGACCAGCGGCATCAGCTCCTTCACCACATCCTCGTCGTATTTACCGATGAGCCTCTCGAACTCGCGGTAGATGGAGTTGGCCAGGCCCGACACGCGCTCAGACATCATCGCTGATGTCCCCGGGTCGTCCTGGTACACATCTCCGTCTTCCAGCTCCATTTTAGTCCTCTCCCTTTCAGCAAACAGGGCCAATGTGGGTTATCCCGCCTTACCCCGCCACAATGAGTACCGTTAACCACTTAACTGAAAGCAGCGTTTGTTTAAATTAACGTACACATTGAGGACATCACACAGCTTGACTACTGCGATGCAACACAGACTACGTGGATATCTTCCTCTTTTTCCCCTCGTTTGTCCCATGCTGCCTTCAAATGCTCCTCCAAAGCTTGTACTTCCCAGCTTCGCCGAGAAACCGGATCCACACAAAAACATTAAAAATTACAAATTTACAAAAAGATACAGAAATAATAGCGTAACGCTGGTGTACAACATAATATTTTGCTCACATATATAAAATAAATGATATTTAAAAAAAAGAATAGCGACATCTAAGTGGTAGTGTTTCACAGTTGTCATTCATCAAGCTTTTAATTCATCAAGCTTTTCCTACACAGGGTGTGTAGGAGAAGCTGCCTCCATCCTCAAGGACCCCAGCCCCTCAACACAGACTGTTTATACCCCTACCCTCCGGTCGGAGGCTCAGGAGTGTGAAATGCAGGACCTCTAGACTGAAAAACGCTTTTGCTCGGCCATCAGACTCCTAAACAGCTGACTCAGGATCTACCTCATGTAATTCCATCTGTACTGTTTACATACTCATTTTGCACATGTACAATTGCACACTGACTGCTGAGTATTTGCATTCCATGACTCCCACGTAGCATATATTCTCTGCATTTTATTGTGTTCTTGTTGTATTTTTATTTGTTCCCTTCACTTTCTGCTTTAAAGTGCCTTAGATTTGTGATTTTACTGCCTATTTAGATTTGTGTTATTGCTTATCTACTTTATATTTCACTTGTATGTGGCATTCATGTGGACGGCAAAGTAAGAATTTCATTGTACAGGGAAACACGTTTCCTAACTGTGCATATGACAAATAAACACTTTGACCTTTGACCTTTGATTACTGTCCAAATAGCCTGGTTTTTGAGTACTACACCAGCATAAAGAAGAGAATACAGGCCTAGATCAGATATACAGAATTTATTTATGTAACTTACTGAGCATAAGAATTGATTTGATTTTTGATTTGATTTGATTTATTCTTTCAAACATGCAGAACAAACGACATCAACACACACATGATTATACAAATCCAACCAATGCTGATTCAGAATCAGTTTGCTTATACCTAGTACATGTTTGAATGGAGTAGGAAGAAGTCAGACTTATCCAGTCCTACCCCATAACATCATCTTATACAAAAAATTTCATGCATCATTGGCTGCAAGCAGTATCTCTACATAGGTAATTCTCTTCTTCACCAGACAAGTAATACACAGAAAATTTAAAACAGA